ATGATGATATAAGGAGTCATTATTTTAATCATGCAATAAAGCATCAAACTAGTTGCACATATATACCCCAACAAAATGGAGTCGTCAAGTGCAAGCATAGACACCTCTTAGATGTGTCATATGCTTTGCATTTTCAAATAAGTCTTCCAATCTCATTATGGGGTGAATGTCTCCTTACTGCAACATATTTAATCAACCATATGTCACTTTCTGTTTTAAAAGATAAAACTCTGTATGAAATATTGTTGAAGAGGAGGTCTACCTATGATCTTTTAAGGAGCTTTGGATGCCTTTGTTATGAACATATGAATGACAAGTCACGAGACAAGTTTGCATCACAAGCTAAGCCATGTGTCTTTGTTGGGTATCCAAATGGACAAAAAAGGATATAAAATTTATAATCTTGAAAGTAAAAGAATTTATGTTTCTTGAAACATACAATTCTTTGAAAAAGTAGTTTCATTTGTAGGATTAAATCAATTTAATATTTCTGATGGTAAATTAAATGACACCAAATTTGCAATAGAGAATTTTGGGCTCTCAAAATCAGGTGTAAGTCCATCTTACGATGATTGTTCAGTTGCATCTACTTTAACATCAACAAATACTTTTCAAGAATCAAAACCAATTATTTCTACCTTATCTCAATCATAACTTTAAGACATCGTTGAGATTGAAATTGTTGAAGAAAGATCATTACCTCCGCAAAATCAATCACATGATGAGATTCATAATGTTAATTCAAAAGCTGCTCTAAGAGAAGACAAAGGGCAAAGACAAGTCTTATTTCGTTTATCTAGTTACAAGTACACTTTGCCCCTCTCTTGCTCCTAAAAATTCTATTTGCTTTCGCCTCTTCCATCAACAAACTCGACGATATATCCTTTCACAATTCCTTTCTTATTCAAAATTTTTTGCTACTCACACTACTTTTCTAACGACCATCACATTAATGATAAGCTAAAGTCATTTTCTTAAGCAATCAAATTTTAGCATTAGAGAGGTGCAATGACTAAGGAAATTTCTACATTAGAAGCAAATAATACTCGGACTTTAAAACTTTTATTTCTTGAAAAGAATACTATTGATTCCAAATGGGTTTACAAAGTCAAGTATAAACTGGATGGAAGCCTCAAGCATTCCAAAGCTCGTTTTATTGCTAATGGCTACACTTAAATTGAAGGAATTGACTTTTATAAAACTTTTGCACCTGTTACCAAATTGGTAACAGTTCAATGCTTATTGGCATTTCCATCGTTAAATAATTGGAAACAATATCAGTTAAACATAAATAATACCTTCTTACATGGAGATTTAACAGAAGAAACGTACATGAAAATACCATAGGAATTTGCTAAGTAAGGGGAACAACGAGTTTGTTGATTGTGAAAATCTCTTTATGGCATTCACCAAGCTTTTCATAATTGGTATACAAAATTAATCACTTCTCTACTCAATATTGGCTTCAAGCAATCAGATGCAGATAATTATTCTTTATTCACTTTTTCATATAAAGATAAATCATTCACTGTCGTCCTCATATATGTTGATGATCTTATTATCGTAGGGACAAATGTTAAACGCATCTCTAAGCTGAAACATTATTTGGATACCAAATTTTACATCGAAGATCTTGACAAACTTAAATATTTTATTGGACTTAAGGTGGCTCGCTCTCTACAGGAATTTCTTGAGTCACGTAAGTATGCGCTTGATATGTTAGTTGATAGTGATCT